GACTAGGGCAGGAGGGCGGAGCCTTTGTGCGTGGGATTAGAGCCCTTATAAAAGAGGGCTCCAGAGCCCCTAGTTCCTTCCACCACCTGAGGACACAGAAGAAGGTGAAGGAGGTGGCCATCTGTGAACCAGGAAGCCGGCCCTCTCCAGATACCGGGTCTGCCGGCATCTTGACCTGGGACTTCCCAGCCTCCAGAACCGTGAGAAAGAAGTTTGTGTAACTTACAAGGCCTTGGAGATAGGATATTGTCATAGCGGCTCAAGAGGACAAAGACAAAGAAAAGCCTTTCTGCTATAATGTGGCAAATGCAATTCAGTAGAAGCTCCGGCTGCAACATGTGCACTCTGAAAACTGAGGTCACAGGAAAAACAAGAGTTCTAGCCAGACTACTCAAAATCTATGTAATCAGAAGACTAAAAATTAAATACAGCCACAGTGATAGGACTGGACTTAAAAAAAAAGGAGCTACAAGTGAAGGCAGCGTGCTAGAAGGCAGGAGAAGCAAGACAGAAAGAAGCTAGGCTGTGGGGACAAGGGCGAGGGGGCAAAGGAACTACGCTATAAGCACCCAAAAATAGGGCACACGACCCCCGTGCGCCAGAGGAACACGAAGTGATGAGCACCGCGTGCGCGAGGGAGTTCCTCTGAGGCTCTGCGCTCAGCCACGCGGCTGCACTCTGGGGTCAGGGGCTGGTAGCGGGTCCAACGAATCATTCACATACTGGCGACGAGGGCACACGAACCAGGGCTACTTCTGGGTCAAAACGACGTCAGTGTTGGTCTTGCCAAGCGAATCTACAACAGCCGGACCACAGCGCGCCAGCCGGCCCCGCCCCCTTCACGACGCCTTCGCGGGACCCCCAGTCCCCCCCAGCGTCGCCGCGTCTGCGCAGACACGTCTAATAAGCACACACCTGTGGGCAGACGCGGCGGTAACAAGTGTGGGAACACCCAGAAAAGCAAGATTCCCATCATCTGCAAGATCATTTGGTGAGGGTGACAGGTGAGTCAATGGGGGTGGGATCACGGGCAGAAACGAGAGGTGTACGCAGTCGAATCATCACCCCCGACGTGCCGAGAACACTTCCATCTGCTGACTTGGGGGCAGTTTCGTGGAGTCGTTAGGGGCAGCAACTCTGGGTTGAAAGTAGCTTGGATTCACGCACTGCCTCTCCCGGGGAACGCTAACCGAGTTACTCTCCTGATCCGTGCGTCTGTTTTCTCCAAGACAGCGGTAATAAGAGTGCTTGTCTCCCATCGTGGAATAAATGAACTACTGGGCAGAATGTGCTCGGCCCGGAGCCGAGTCCGCTCTCCCTGGGCATCTGAGGGAAGGGGGTACACAGGAGCAGCTCGTCCTCGCCCTTCCACAGTACAGCACGGTTCCTGGCACATAATGGGCGCTTCCCAGGGGTGGGAGGAGTGAATGAATTCTGATGGTCGCAAACAGGGCATCTGGAAATTGCTGAGGACAGTTCTCTTTCTTTACTCTGTTGGATCCTCACGTTCTGAGAAGGAGGCAGTGCTGGTGGCAGGGCCTCGATTCTCTGATGAAGACACCAAGCCTCAGACAAGGCGGCCTCTTGCCTAGGGCCGCTGAGCTGGTCATCAGCGGACCCAGGAGGCGCGGCAAGCCTGCACTGCCCGGGCCCCGGGTGGACCGCGGCGGAGCCTGCGGGGGGGGGGGGGGGGGGGGGGGGCGGGGGGGAGGGGCGGGCGGGCCGCCCCCTTCACATCCTGAACCTCGGCAATTGAACAGTTTCTAATTCTGACACCTTGGTGTTTCTCGCACATCAAATCCCATTAGCCTGACACACCTACAAAATACTCCACAGTGAGACCAGATGATATTTTTAAACCGCATTTCAAATGGTCTGTGGGGGAAGATGTATTTTAGAGCACCTGTGGCGGTGAAATCAGGCTTCATGGGGCACCGATTCTGGAAGTTGAGAACCACAAGAGAGGCCCCGACCCGGTCATCATTTCCCCGTGGGGGCTGTGCTGAAGGCCCTCACACAGCTGCAGGCAACACTCCACCCTCTGTGGTTGACACCACCTCACCCACGGGGGTGGAGCCACCCAAGGGCTGGGGGTAGGCAGCTGGCCTGTTAAAGCAGCTACTCCGCATTGTAAGAGCAGGTGCAGAGATTGTTCGGAGAGCATTTGGGGAAATGATACACCACTGAAGAAAAAAAACCTAAATCCCCATAAGGACAAACAGCACTGGAGAGGTTTTCAATGACTCTCCTACTTCCCCTTGCCTCAAGTCAGGAAGGTGGGTCTGTCCACACTTCTAGCCCAGGGCGCCTCCTTCTCCCTGGGCTGTGCCTCCCTTGGGTGGAGGATGAAGTAGCCAGGAAAGATGATGAGGACCTAAGGACGGCCTGGCCAGCTGCCTCCTGCTGGATGACCGTCCACCAAAGGGCCCTCCTGTTGCGCCCAGTAAAGGCAGGGCAGGGAACACCCTCCATCTCCCCTTCAGCCAGGTCTTCACATGACCCCCACTGTGCATGTCCTGTGTGCCGGGTGACATTCTGGGCTGGGCGGAAGGGAGAGGAAAGACCAAGCCCCTTCTAACCTGGGGCTTCTGCTCAAGGAGGGGCAGCTAACACCCAAGGAGACAGCATTCAGGGAGGGACAACAACGCCGCACAACAATTAAGAGGGGCCAGTCACACAAGGCCCGCTGGGAGTTTCCAAGAGAACCTGGAAACTACCAGAAGCTATGAGCAGAGAAGTGAAAAATGATCCAGTAAGTGTTTTAAAATTATAAATCACCTAATTTCACTGCTCAACAAATCCTCTAAGTTCTCAGGACTCCCTCTTCTCTGGTGAGGCAGCAAAGGCTTAGAGCCATAAGGTAATAGTTCCAAGGTCCCAAAATCTAGAAGTGTCAAGTCAAGGCCAAGGTCTGAACTCCACATGCCTAGGACCCCTGCACTATGACCGCCACCACCCCCCCATGCTCCACCCGCCCACTCTAGGAGTAGAATCCCAACTGGAACAACACAACTCCTCCCGCTACACCCACCAACAAACTCAGGACTAACAGGCCTTCCAATTTTTGACTGAAAGCATGGATAAATGTGAACACTTCCTCTTTAATAAAGGATAACTTCATTTATCGAGAGCATTCAAGGCCTTAGCTGACAGCTCCTCTCACTGCTACACAAAACAGGCCCACACCCCCTGGGATCCAGCCCTGCTAGCCCCGAGTTTACTTCCATGGAAGCCTGGACCCTGTTCACGGAGCTGTAGGCCCTCCCATTATTACTGGTCACGCTGGTGAAACTTGGGAGACTTCAGCCTCTTGAAAAACACAACGTCCAGTTGCACACATCCAAATGTTTCTTATCAGCTCTTATTAAAAAAACAATACTACTTATATAAACCAAACTTCGGACTTCATGAAAGTTAGTTCTAGAAACATTCTGCTGGAATCCTGGCCTGCAAAGTGGCGCCAGTAGAGCGGCTTCAAAGTCTCTGGGTGCGGGTGAGTGTCGAGCGAGGAGGGAAGAGCGGACGTGCAGAGTCGGAGCTCGGCTCCAAGCCCGTGAGCTCCCGGGCAGGGGGTCTCGTCCGCCTTCGTCCGGTTCCCGGCACAGCGGCTGCCTGCAGCATGCTTACAGAGACCGCCGAGAGCACGAGGTGTTGGCGCTGTCGCTCAGAAGCTGCTACCCTGGACAGCCCCACGTCTCAGGGATGAAGGACCACCTCCCTCCCAGGAGGCTGGATGAGATGGCGCATGCGCAGAAGGGGTTTGGAACACAGACACGGAGTTATGGAGCAGCTGGGGAAAGACAGCGAGATACCAGACACGCACACAGGACAGCGCATGACCAAACGCTGAACTGGGATGGAATGGTAGGGGCTGGAGCAGGAGGGGAAAGGCCTCGAGCATGGGCTGGTGGAATAACGCCCCCTCCCCAACAGAGATGCCAACTCGCTAATCCTGGAACCTGGGAACGGTCAGGGCTATCTGGTAAACGGAAATGAAGGCTGCAGATGTAATTAAGGTTGCTTGAGATGGGAGATGATCCTGGAACATCCACGAGGACCCAGTGTCATCGCGAGCTCCTTAGAAGTGGAAGAGGGAAGGAGAAGAAGGATCAGAGACTTAGAAAGAATGCAGGGGCCTCTAGAAGCTGGGAAGGGTGAAGAAATGGGCCCTCCCCTCCAGCTCCAGAAGGAACACGGCCCTGCCCACACCTTGATTTAGCCCATTGGGGCTTCTGTCCTCCAGAACTGGAAGAGAGTTAAGTGTGGGTGGCCTACGTGGCCGCATTTATGATAAACTGTTAGAGCAGCATGAGGAACTGATCATCACGGACACTGCAGGACTTAGGCTGCCTGGCAGGGTGGAGGGCAAGGGGCTGCAGGCAGGGGGACCCGCCTGAGAAGAGGCAAGAGGTCAAGAACCGCATGGTATATAAATTGTGCAAGGAGGAGCTCACCTTCCTGGAGCAGGACCTTGACAGTAGTGAGGGCCAAGGTCACATGACCCTTGAGCCTCAGAGGAGGAGGCCAAGACACGAGGTGCTGGGCTCCAAGAAAGCCACTAAGGGTCCTGGGGGGAGCCACAGAACAGTCTAGAAGAGGTGTGCATGGTGGTGAGGAGCACTGGTTGGGGGCGCGGAAGAGGAACAAAAGCCACTGGCTGCCGATGCCTACTGGAGTCCAGCGCCCTCCTCCTGCCCGGTCCAGAGAGATCACACAAAGGGGACGAGCTCAAGAGGTGGAGGCGGGCCGACCCGGCTCCAGGTACCGGGCAGCATCCTTTGTACTAAGTGCCCTTTGCAGAAGACAATTATCCTGAGTCTCACCTCAGGGCTGTCTCTCTAAGACGAGGATCTGAGGCATAGCTCTTCCTGGTGGGAGAGGTGGGGCTAATGCTTTTGAAACATCGTACAGGGTATCCGACCCAAGCTCAACCAACCGCGGGCTGCGTCTCCTGCCTGAGCAACTAGCAACGCAACCAAAATCCTTCCTGTCGCTGGTACCTGGATGTTGAGTCTCCCTCGATGCGCCCCGAGGCCGTAGCGCTTGGAAGTAGACGCATGAAGCTGGAAGTCTGTGATTTTTAAGGTTTCCAGACCAAGAGGTGGGCAACCTAGAAAGGACAACGCTTGTTAAAAACAAAGACAGATGTTCAAAGGCAAGTTTTTGATTTTCTAAATCTACCCTCCCGCTTTCCCATTTGCCCCTGAACCCCTACCCCCTAGCGCAGTGCACCCCCCCGGGCATGTCCAGACAGATGCAGTCAACTCAACGTCAACAGTGTGCCAACTGCCCTTCCCGTCGGCATTTCCTCTCTGGCTGTTTGTGCTCTGATATTCCTTCTCTCTGTTGCTGTCCATGCTACTGTCTGAGGCTGTTTCCAATTAAGGATCCTTCCACAGTGTGACTCAGCCAGGGAGTGCTATGGGTTAGAAATTTCAGAGCAAGCCGTGGTTAAGCTCTGCAAATTAATCAGAACTTTGTGATTTTGCTTCAGCAACTCTGGCCTTTGTATTGTGCATGCTAATGAGCAAGGCAATATAAATAGGGGGAAAAAAATCTACTGTTTTCCATTCTTAGCAAAACTGGTAGTTCTGAGAACAGCTACCAAACACAGTTTGGTTGAAGCTGCCCCTGGAAGAAGATGCTGGCACATGGGCAGGCCCCTGGCAAGCCTCCCTGTCCAGACCAACGACCCTGTGGATAAGAGCTTTAACAGCAGCTCTGGGGCCGGATCCCAGGCCTCGGGACTCCCAGGCTGCTATTCTCACCGCCCAGCCCACCGTGGGGCTGGAAGTCTCCAAGCGATGCTACCCGTCTCCTCAAATCTGCCCCTGGTGAAAGAAAACACAAACTCTGGAGGAGAAGCAAAAGCTATTTCTACTACAAGTGTGAGAAATCCCTCCTGTAAGAGGCACGTTTAAAAAGCTATGTGGCTCACTGCTGAGATGGGGACCTGAGGAGGTGGGCTATCTGTCCATCCATGACAAACCCCTGCAGGGGAAAAAAAGCCCTCTGGCCTCAGGATGCTGGGGGAGCCTGGCAAGACAGGAGCCCCCCTGGGTGTTCTGCAGGCCGCTAGGGAAGAAAGTCGGTCCAGGGCGGGGAGGGGCGGGTGCCTGGGTGGCTCAGTAGGTTGAGCGTCTGCCTTCAGCTCAGGTCGTGATTTCGGGGTCCTGGGATTGAGCCCCGCATCGGGCTCCCTGCGGCAAGTCTGCCTCTCCCTCTGCCCCTCCCCCCCACTCGAGCTCTTTGTCTCACTCACTCAAATAAATAAAATCAAGAGAAGAAAGGGAAGAAAGGGAAGGGGAAGGAAAGAAGGAAGAGAAAGAAAAAAAAGAAAGAGAAAGAAAGAAGAAGGAAGGAAGGAAGGGAGGGAGGGAGGGAGGGAGGGAGGGAGAGAAGAGGAAAAAGAAAAAGAGAAAAGAAAAGAAAAAAAATAAGTTGGCCCAGGGGCTGCCATCAGAGGGACTCAGACCTGCCAGGCCCCGAGACGCCATCCAGTCCGCCCCTGGGGAAGTCCTCAAAGAGGAAGCCAAGGCCCTGAGACCGGAGGTGAGCCTTCCCAGGCATCCCTGCCAGCGATAAAGCTGGACCTCGGATCCTGGCCTCCAGATTCTCGGCTCTGGGCTTTCAAACACTGCCACGCTGCTTCCCTGGCCCTGCCCACGTCTGCCACGCGGCTGCCTGGGTTGATACACATGCATCAGCCATCTGTGCTGGGGCGGGAGGGGCAGAGAGACTGGAGCCCAGCGTGGTGAGGAGCACCAAGAGGGGGGTAACGGTGCCACTGCCACATGACGCAGCAGGAGACCCCAGGAGGCTTCAGGTGGCACCGTGAGCAACAGTGCTCCTGCCGGATTCTGCCAGAGGGGGGCCACGCCTCAAATGGGGGGGGCATGGGAGCAGGAACCAGGCAGTGAACGGGGGCAGAGGGTGTGGATCCAGTGGGGACCACAGAATGAATGGGGCGGGCATGCAGCCAGAGCGGGGCGTGTGGCCGGTGGGGATCCAGGAGGCAAGCATGCCTAACCCCCCAAGGCTGACCTCACAGAGGGTATTCTAGTTCGCCTAACACCCCTCCCCCACTAGGATCTGCCCCAGGCACTTTCCAGGCCTGGAGGACACAGGGGTCTGACCCATGTGGGTGGCATTTCCTTGGTCCCAATGCTAAAAGAGTAATTCTTGGGGCATCTGGGTGGCTCAGTCAGTTAAGCGGCTGCCTTCGGCTCAGGTCATGATCCCAAGGTCCTGGGATCGAGCCCCGCATCGGGCTCCCTGCTCGGCGGGAAGCCTGCTTCTCCCTCTCCCACTCCCCCTGCTTGTGTTCTCTCTCTTGCTGAGACTCTCTCTGTCAAATAAATAAATAAAATATTAAAAAAAGAGTAATTCTCCATCATGCCTACTGGAAATTGACCAAGTATCTGATGACTGAGCAAAGACATTTCTTACGTGCTTACTCAGAAATCCATGCTGCCTGCCTCCACCAGCCATGCCTAGTCATGGAACCTGTTCATGCTGACCCAGCAGCAGCCACACCTGCCCCTCCGCAGCTCGGCCCCTGGGCCCAGGCTGTGAGCGAGCAGGACCCCGAGCCCCCACGAGGTCCCACTGTGGCCTCAGGATGGACAGCACCTCCTCTCCATGCTGCTCGCCTCTCTGGGCCATATCCCTCCGGCCTCTCAGACCCCAGCGGTCACTGGTAGGCTTGAGGCCCTGGTCCAGATTCAGGGCAAGGACTGAGGGTCAGGCTCACTTCCTATACTCTCTGGGAGGTTAGATTCCAAAAGGTCCTTCACCCTGCCACTCAGCCCTGGCCCTGACCCCAGGCTTGGGGCTCCCTCAGCTGGAGATGCTACCCACCGTCCGCAGTTCTTACCCCCCACCTCCTTGTCACCTAGCCCCAGCCTGCGCTGCTTCAGACACATCAGCATCCTCAGGAACAACCCACAGTTCCTGGACCCCAACACCAAAATGGCTGGCCAGTGGTTCTGCTGGACAATTCCCTGTGTCCTGGGAATGGCCTCTGCATCTCAATTCTGCTAGCTACTCCAGCTTTGGTTTCAGACCCCGACCGGGAACAAGGCACTGGTCTGTCCCTCCCATGTCCTGGTGCTCCGTTCAGAAGCTCGGTATTCTCACATAAGCAAACATCAGAAATGCAAAAAGGATTCACTGCCATTTCAATGAAATTCTTTCACAGCTGTATCAAACATGTTCCCATCCCCTGGTCCCTCCTTCTGAGCAAAAAACACAGCAAGTGGTGAACTCCAGGTACCTCATTGAGCTAACACATTCTATTACTCATTTCACTCATTTAGATAGATAGGCAAACTGACAGACGGACCACACAAATACATATTATTTACTAGTTAAATAAGGAAGAATAATTGCTACCCAAAGCATTTCTTCCATTTTGGAAAAGAGAATATCTCATATGCACATGAATATTATAATTCAAAAAGGAACTACGTGGGTGCGCCAGGGTGGCTCAGTCAGTTAAGCATATGCCTTTGGCTCAGGTCATGATCCCCAGGTCCTAGGATGGAGCCCTGTGGGGCGGGGGGGAGGAGGGGAGGAACTCCATCCCAGGAGAGCCCCTCCCTGCTCAGCAGGGAATCTGCTTCCCCCTCTCCCTCTACCCTTCCCCTCCCCGCCTCGTGCTGGCTCTCTTGTGCGTGCATGCTCTGTCTCTCTCTCTCTCTCAAATAAATTAATAAAATCTTAAAAAAAAAGGAACTACCCGAATAAAATTGCATATTCACCAAAACCACTCATATTGCTAAGTGCAAGCTCCACACATCCTCTCACCAGCATACACAAGGGGTGAAAAAGAAAGTGCCCCTAAGTGGGGTGTTTGTCGATTGCACATCTAATATCAACCCAAAAGCTCGATGCCTACCCTCCCAAGGGCTCAACCATCATGCACACGAAGCAAATGTGGAGTCCCACCAAGCCAGCACCACCATCCGACAAATGTCCACTCTTGCCCACTCCTGGGATGATGTGACAGCATAGGCCAGAAAAGCCACTCCTTCGGTCCACAGCACAGCTGATGATGTCTTTGGTGAGCAGACCAGATACACACACACACACACACACACACACACACACACACACACACACACACTCAGCCTGCAAGCAAATGCCGGCTTCCCTGAATCCTAATAAGGATTTTTTTTTTCCTTATCAGAAGGATACACTATCTTCAGAGAATTTGGTTTTGTTTGGAAGCCTTGTCTGTTGTCCATGCCATTGCTAAAGACACTAGAGACAGACACTGGGAAAGGCCACGGCAAAGTTGCTGACACACGAAGGTCAGTAAGGCATCTCTGGTTGTTGTTAGAAACCAACCTTAAGCAGGAATGGGGGTTGCTGGGGACACAGCAGGAAGCTCCCAGGAGGGACCAAGGCAGGGACACAGGACAGGTGCAGGGTAGAGCCCCAAGAGCCCTCATCACCCAAGCAGCAGAAACCACGAGCCGTGTTCCTCCAGGGGATGGGACAGACCCCGCCAGCGCTTCCGGTCACACCACCCCTCCCGAGGGGCCACACTCAGCTTCATACCGCTCGTCCCAGGGAGGGCCTGCCCCGTGCATGGCCAGTCGGCCCACCAAAGTCAGGTGCTGTCAGCAGGGGGGCAGATGCCGGTCTCCGGTTCCCACCTGCGCACGTGGGAGGGGTGGAGGGGCATCTGGAGCTGCCTGCACAGCCCTGCAGTCCGGTCCCTCCCTGCACCACCCTGCACCGCCCTGCACCGCCCTGCACCGCCCTGCACCTCCTGGTGCAATGGCTTCTCCAGCTGTCCACCCTCACCACCCAGCCCCAGGTCCCCCTCTTCTCCACCCCTCCCCTTCTGGATTTTGCCTTCTGCACTCTGGTTTCTGTCCCCAGGCACGGCGCCCACGGCTTCATCCACACAATGACAGATGCCATCTACAGCAGCAGGTGAGGTTTCAACTCAGGACCCCTCCCGTGAGCGTCTTCAGAGACCGGACCATTCCACAACCTTCCATATGTGAGGCCTGCTTGGCAGCAGAAGCCCGGCCGGCTGCGGATGCGAATATCATCTCTGACGTGTCCTCACCATCCTCCCCAGCCCACTGCTGAAGA